TCTGTCTGTCGTGTTCTCAGCCTCTACTGGGTAGTCTCCTCTAGCCTTTCTAGAGCCCTCTTAGCTCTCCACTGGGCTCTGGGCTGACCTCTGTGGACTGCATCAAAAGGGACTCCTTGCCCTCTGACTTCTATTTGTACCAACCATTAGGAAGTCCTGTTGGAGACTGGAGGATGGAAGAGAGAGAATTTTTATTTACCTGCTCTTGGATATTTAATTCCCTGGAGTCACTATGCCCCAGGAGACCAACCTATATGAACCACAATGTTGTTTTCCCTTGCTTCAGATCAGGAGAGAGGATAATGGGGGTCAAGGTATTAAATCCTGGGTGTGGGACCAAAGGCCCAATTCTTGTCAGGTAGTTCCTACATATACAGCCTTCTCTGGTAACTACTTCCTCTTGCCCCTTTATGCACAGGGGTGATTTAGGGGCCCCCAGTGTTATTGAGTCTCCCATGTCATCTCTTTACTTTCTGCCCACATCTTTGTTTATAGTTCCTTATTGAACTCTCCTCCAATTTCCTAATTTGATTGTACCATCAGTTTCCTGCTGGGACTCTGACTGCTAAAATAGGCCATATCCAGAAGGTAATATTTTAGCAGAGACTAGAATGATCCAGTGGAATGAATGAGTCATGAAGATATGTGGGGTAAGTGCCAAGATCATGCAGCAGCAAGGAGGCAGGGGATCAGAGTGGAGTGAGCTGGGGAGGAATGTAGAAGGCAAGGTCAAATATGTAATAAGCTGTGTGTGTGTTGGGGATGGAGGTGTGTGGTGCATGGGAGGCAAATTATATATGGCCTTGTTGGCCTTTCAAAGGACTTTGGCTTCTACTCTGAAAGAAATGGGAAGCCATGATAACTATATACTTACATCTAATTAAATCTAATAAGATTACTTTCTATTATGTGTCAACAGTGGAGCTCTGTGACTCAGTTCTGAGTTTCTCCTCCCAGTCTCATGCCTGCTGATGAATGTGTGGGCGTGTTGAGCTAGCCCAGCATGCTTGGGCTTGAGTTCAAGGCTTTGTGCCTCTCCTGATGCTGTAGGGGACATGACCTTCCCTTACAGTACAGAATTCAGACTACAGTGTCTTTTTTTTGTTGTTAGCATATTCTTTTCAATTCAGTTAATGATTTGGGAGTGGACACATTTTTCTTACTCTTTCTTTTTTTGTTGTTAAAGTCAATAGGCCCTTCTATACTGACTTCAAAAAGCGTGCTTATCTAAAGGGTCTTGTACAATAGAGAAATAACTGCTTAACTTCAGGGAAAATAATTCAAGGAGTTTAACTGAGAGGTGCTGTCTGCCTGCTTACCTCTTCAAGACTGTGGTTTATCTTGAATATTTAAAAAGACAGAGTTCATTTGCGTGTGCAATCCAAGCCTATTCAGAAAATAATATACAGATTTTAAGTCTGTTTTAATTTTTAACAAAATTTTCAGCTGTGCTGGGTCTTCTAGTGTTAAGTCTAAATCAAAGCTGTGATGGTTACATGAATAAAGTTGCATCTCCTTCCACTGCCCACAGAAGGGTCCACCCTCTCCCTGCTATTTCTCAAAATTTTCCCTGGGGGACTTTCAGTGAACCATTTAGGTGGGGCTCCTAACGGCCAAATATTCATGTCAGATGATGGTGTGCCCTACTCAATCAAGCTGACCTTTCCTATGTTTTACCTCCATGAAAATGTAACTACATATAGTAGCTGTATTCCCTCAGGCCCCATTCTCTCCTTTCAGTTCAGAAGGAAACCAAGCTATTTAGCTAATCTGATTAATTAAGCAGGCAGGAAACTTTTCCTCATGGTTAACAACACAGTTGGTCTAGCAGAACCAGTTCTAATCCTTGTTGTCTGACCTTGACCCTAGTTTCTTTAAACATGTTTTATTATTATATTTCAAAATTTCTAGTCCCATACGTGAAGTGGGTTGTTCCAGTGGGTGTGCAGTAGAAAGAGGCCTGGACTTTGTCCCTCTGAGTTTTAATTTTTCTTTCTGTGAATTGATAAGGTTAAACTAAATCAGTGAAGCATCAAACACTTTTGAGAAACAACATAGGACTTTAAGGGCATGAAAATAAACAAAACTTCCAAAAATTATAACCTACTAATTATCATTTCAAACAAGAGAGAATATTTTTAACATAAAAAAAAATCAAAATGTAACTCAGAAAAAGGACAGTTATTTAAAATGAGTAAATTTATTTTTATGAATGAATGAACTGAATACATGTCCTTATTTATTTATTTATGTATTTATTCCTTTCAGTACTATCAAAGTGAAAACTTTGTCATGGACTGGCAACTTCTAAGAACTTTTTTAGTTTTAAAAGCCTATATGTCAAGTCTTGTCTAAATAAATCTGGTGGCTGCTGACTTGGCCTCTGGATTGTGTCTTTTGTCTTGATATCTCTCATGTCTAGTACAGTGCCTGATATAGCCATAGATTAAATAAATTAAAAGGGGACATGACCTTTTCTGAACTACTGACATGTACAGAAAGAGTATATCCCAGAAACAGGGTGAGTATATCCCAGAAGGGGGTAAGCCCTTATTATTTCCTTCCAGTTTAGCTGGAGATCTGCAGCAAGCAGTTAAGTCAGTTCTAGGCTAGGTTTAACAGCCTAAGTCCCTTGATCCTGACCCAAATCTGAATTCAGAGTAGGCATCAAAAGTGAAATTGAAAGATCACAGACTCACCATCATTCTTTAAATGAGTATTTCCCCACACACTCCTAAAAGCAGCCTTTCTATAACAGAGGCAACACATTTACTTCTTGGGAGCCAGGATGCCTGGATTCAAATTTTGGCGTTGCCACTAGCTAGGTGCATATCAAGAAGCATCACCACCTATGCCTAAGGTTCCTTATTTATAAAATGTGGCTAAGTATTATACCTACCTCATGAAGTTATTCTATGGATTAAATGAGTTGATATCCTTAGAACCATATGTTCACATGGTTAAGTGTTCAGTTATAAATTTGACTAATGTATCTCAAGAAATATGGGAATAGAAAAAGAATTTTTAAAAAGAATTTAAAAGGTCCTAAAAGTAGTGCTGGTGCTTTTGCAATTATTAAGACCGAAGGGGAATATCATCAAAATCCATAAAATTAAGAAGTCAATTATAAACCTTATAAAACTGCTTTTTCTCAAAGGGTAGGCTCAAAATTAATTTAGATAAATTCTTACAGAATGAATGCATAATAGGATATTGAAAGAAGTGAAGATGGTCTGTGGTATATAATTAGCTTTCCCAAGTGGAGTATAGGGAACCAAATCCTTCTTACAAATGAGAAGTGTAACTTCTTGTCAGCACATTAAAATGACTTTTGAAACTTAGAAAAATACCAATGCCAAGGCCCCACAGCAGAGCTATTAAATCAGAATCTCTAGAGGTGAGGCTCAGGCTCTGGTATTTTTGAAAAAGCTCCCTAAATGGTTGTAAAGGTGTGCTAGGGTTTGGAAACTGCTGGATAAGTCAGTTTCTCTAAGAGCAACTTCTCTTAACTCTTTCATCTTGTATATAATTTCCACTCCTGTCATCTACAAGCAGAATTTTATTTCTTCATAACCTTTTCTCATTTTTTTTCTGCTGCCCTTTTTAGCGTCTTTTCCATTGTGCCGGGTGTCTTACAGCTTTTCTATGAAAATATGTGTTCATGAATGGGTGGACACTCAATAAGCATTAGATAAAAGTAACAAGAATAACAACAATAGTAAAGTTACAAGCATCAGTTCCCTCCAGATTAAATCAGAAGAAATGCCTGGGCTAAAATGATCTGTGCAGCTATCCAACAGGTGGATGTACCATTGTCGACAAAAGAATATTCAAACCTGTAGAAAGCTTTATAAGAATTTATTTGAGCCAAAGTTTTGAAGACATGCCTGGATGAAAAATCTCAACAGATTGAGAAGACGCTCCGGAGAATGGTAGTTTTGCAGTTTATTTTATACATTTACAATTAAAGGAGAAAATATAAGGAAGTTTACCTGAAATCTATTGGCAGTAGGTTAAGGATGAGGGAGCAAGCAAAGGGGAGAAATCTCAAGGATTTGCTAAAAAGGAAAATAGAGAGATACATGCTTCCTTTATATAGGTGGGTGCAGAATAGTTAATATTTAACATGTACAGCACATATAGATGGTATGTAGGCAACAAAATAAAAATGAGGGGTTTTGTGGTCTCATGCTGTGATGATCTTGTGCTCTGGTGCGGGCAGTTGTGCCTATAAGGGGTCTAGAAAATAAATTACTCTGACATTTCAAATGTATGTTACCCTAGATCATAAGAACAATGGACAGGGCTCACTTAAGGTAAAGAATGGTTTTTGCTGAGGAAGCTATAGGCCTGGGACATTGACTTCTTGCCATGACCTGCCCAATTAGGGATTTATGAGCAGACCATTGTGTGAGGTTACTTTCGGTCACTGGGCTTGTTAGGCCAGCCAAGTAGCCCCTAAGCTTCTTCTATTATGTCACCCCTTTTCCTTCACACAGTGTAGCTTTGGGCGATGCAGTGCTGTGTGTTGGCCTAGCCAAGTAAAGATACCAAGCAACAGGCAACCAGAGGCAAGTCTGCTGTGCGCATCAAATTTTCTGAATCTTAATGTTATCTGTTCCCCGGGAACAAAATCTCCAAATACCAAGAAGCTGCTTTGCAACGTCAAAAGCTGAATAGGGCAGGCTGCCAACAGGACTACAGACACGCCGCTATATCTCAAAGCAGGTTATTTTAATTTACTTTGTTTTGGGCTAACTCTCCACAGCTCCGCGACAGCCGCACCTGCACACATCCTTCCTGTCCCAGGCAGTTGCAACACCGGCCTCTGCCTCCCACGGCTTCCAGCCGCAGTGCGGGAGCCTTAGCTAAGGCCTTAGTTAAGGCCTTGGGCGCGCCTGCGCGCGATACAGGGAGGACTGGCCAAAGCTGGAGGAGGCGGGGCAGGCCCTCGAGATCTGCAGTCCATTGGTTCTCTCCTCATAGTCCCCGCCCCCGGGCGTTCGAGACGGCGGGGCGGGCCACGTCAGGCAGGCGGCGCGGGCCTGAGCTGTGGCAGAAGGGAGGTAAGCGAACGTGGGGTGGCTGGCGGCCGACTGCGGGCCGCTACCCCCTGATCAGAGGCTGCCTTGCCTTACCCGCCTGTGGCCTGTCTCACCTTGCGTGAAGAGTGGCTGAGGCCCCGCGGGTCTGGGGCTCTACTGGAAGATGGGGGCCGTGGAACATGTGGTGGCAGGGCCGTGTTGTGGCATGGGGCGGCCGGGAAGGGGACAGGTCTTGCCGTTTGCCCTCGTCCTGTCTTTTCTGGGTTCTGAAATTCCGGGAAACTAGGTCTTCCGAGTTAGAGAGCTCTGGGATGCCTGGGTGGTGCCAGCTTCGGTGCCCGCGGTAGGGCTCAGCGGGATCCTGACTCGGAAACCGATCCTTGCATACTTATCTGCAGCAGATTGCAGTCGTTGCACTCTCCCCTGACCGGTTCCCTAGCAAGGCCAGTGCAGGGGAGTCTGGCTATGTCCTGCCTGAACTGGGGTGGCTGTCTACTCATTGCTAGCGACTCACTCACATCTTGTCCACTTTAATGCAAAGGCTTATGGGTGAGCAGGGCCTCTTTTTGGATCTACTGGTTCTCTGGTTTTCTCTTCACATGCGAGAATTACCTGAAGAAATAAACAGTGTCTATATGTAAATAATAACATATACATGTATGAATGTATGTTTTGAAATATCTGTAACAGCTATGCGGAGGTTTGCAGAGACTTGCAGTTATGTTACTCTACTCTCCATGAATTTTAACTTCAGATATGGCATCCTGATAGCTTAGGTTCTGAATTTGGAGCTTCTAAAATCAATGAAGTCATTCTATCAAATATCATGCAATCCTTCATCCATTCAACACAGCTTTTTGATGGGTTCCTTGCTGGTCAGGGCCTTATACCACAAACTAAAATGGGCATTCCCTGCTCTTTCTTCCAGTTTATCTGCCAGTGTTATTGTCTATACACGAGATGAAATTTTTTTGTTGATGGATCAATTTCAGGTTCTAGATTTAGGTACAGAAGCTTGTGATCCTGTATCAGAAGATAGAGCTCTTTTTGGGACCTCGTTTAGTTTTCCTTACTTTCACCTCTAGTAAGCTGTAATCCTGCTAACTGTACCACTAAAGATCCTAGGTCTGAGGCACCTATCTGTAAAGTGAGGGAGTAGGTTAGGAGTATTCTGTAATTTTGAGATGCTCAGGGAAAGGAGGAGTAAATGACATATTTATTTTGTTAATAGTTGGGAAGCGACTATTTTAAAAACACAGGCTGTATTTTATGCTTGTGTTTTAATTTTTTTGAATCTGTCCACATTCACTTTTTTGACTGGCAAGCAAGTGCATGTTAATAATTTGATCCACATCTAATTTCTGCATACAAAACACTGTGACTCATCTCAATTTTGAAATGTAATAATCAGGAGCTTTTAAATGTTACATATGAAAAGATATGATATAAGAACAATTGGATAAGAATGCAGCCTTCAAAGTATTTTGACTTGCTTTGGTATTTGGCAGATCAGTGGCATCTAAAACCTCTGGTTATTTGCTTGGTTGATTGGGTAGTTACCATCATGTGGCTAATGTCTGTTAATATCATGTGTATATGTTAACTTTTATTTTATCAACCTAAAATTTACTATATTTTAATTGATTGCTGCCTCTAGTTGAGAATTGATAACAAAAAGATAAATTGTTAGAGGATAAAAATGACAATAGAGATGTAACAATAGTTTTTGATTGATGTTACTTACAACTAGATTGTTTAGCCTTCTTGCAGGTGTAAAATGATATCTAAAGTAGTTCTCCTGAAACAATATTCATAGCCTCATGATACTTTGTGGATATTATCCATAAACCATTAGGCAAATTAAATTGTTCATATCACTCTTATGGGTTTAGAAAATTCAAGAAAATGTAACTTTACAATTTTACCTTTGCTAGACCTTTCTAGTTCTAGAAATGGACTAGATCAAGATGGGAAGATTGAGCAAAAATGCAAGAGCTGAGGAAAAAAATCCAAGTGGAGTCTTTTCTAGTTTAAAATTTCAGGGGGAAAAAACAGTGAAAAATACAACTACAACTATATTTGGAAAAAGTGTAAAGAAATAATAGTGTCAGGATTATTGGTGGGTCTATAGCAAAACTTGATCTTAATATCTCTTAGTTTATAACAGTGAACACAGTTTCTCTAATAAAAGAATGGTTATTCTTTTGGGTGATGATTTAAACTTTGATCAAGTGGGCAATACATGTTTCTTTAGGAGATGTGAAATCTCTTAAGTACTGTGTATTTTTTAAAAAGTACTACGGACCTGGAGATGAGTAGTCTAATAAAATATGGTATGGTTATTTAAATATAATATAAATGTGTGGTTCACAATTAGTGATAAATTGAACGGAGTTGTGTGTATTATTTTTACATGATAGGAAATAATATTTGCTGAGCTATTAGGACAAGACATGTTTGTCAGTTTTTCTCCCATTTAAATTATTTGAAACAACTTTTTAACCAATGTGGAAGATCCTATTTATTTTCAAACATCTAGATCAAACATTATTGTTTTTATAAATTGGGTCCTGCAAGTCCTTCTGGCCTCAATTTTTTTTAACCTATTTCAAGTCACATTGGAATTCATGAAATTGCATTTATGATTTTTAACTTTTTAAAATTTTTATTGGTTTTCATTCATTAACCTGAGTTATTTTAGTTTTATATATTTTGAAGACTTTTCAAAGGTTTCACATTACATACTATACAATTTTCCATTGCTCATTATGTGAAAACATTTCTTTAGACCCAAGGAAGTTGAGAATCCAAACTGCATAGTTTGTTATTATTATTTATTTATTTAAAGATTTATCTTTTCACTTGCCTGGGGACCAATGAAGCATTTCACCCAAGCTTGTAAGCTGAAGATTTCAGTTCTTGCCAGTGCATTAGAATATATCTTCTAATCTCTATTTGGTCAGGTAAGCGACTGCTTCCTAATTTGGTAATGTGTTGAACAAATGTTCTAATTATGAACATAATAACTATAGTTTTGCTATGAGGTTTTCTGGCTGCCAGGCTGTACTTTTACCTCCTAACAAACATTTTTCTGTGGCTTAGCTGCTGCAGAATTTAAGTTTTACTCTATTTACAATCTTCGAACAGGTTTAAATTAATGAACCTTTAGGTTTTGGTATATACTATTGGACATAAACATGGAGGAATTAGAGGAAACTTTTTATTAAAGTTGTTTTGAAACATTTAAATAAATGGAATTTTTAGAGAGTGATAGGTATTAAAGATATTGTGTTTTTTATTTTTTCATTCAACACAGACAGGGCATCAGCTCTGGTTCCAAGTTCCTAATATTTCTTCAAGGAACGTATATTATTTCATGGAGGCCATAGACAAGGCCTCAGAGAATCTCCAGAAGAATTTTCACATGAACTGAATTTTGAAAGCAAGTAGAAATTAGTTGGTGAGGATGGAGAACAAGGCATCTAAGGCACAAGAAAGAAAGAAGGCCAATCTGGCAGGTTAGAGACAAAACATAGACTCTTAATATATTAAAGAGAGAATAGAGATGAGGTTTAATAAGTAAAAAAGGCCAAATAATGAAAGGCCCTCTTACCTACTATGTTAAAGATATTGAACTTTATTCTTGAGGCTGTAGTGATCCATGGGTAAGAGATCTTAAGTAGAGGAAAGTTAAGATCAGTTTTGTATGGCAATGCGAAGAATGAAATGTAGTGAAGCAAGGCCCAGTTGTGAAGGCAAGATATAGAACTGCAAATTATGCAGTGGGCCTTGAGCGAGTAGGATAGCTTGAAAATATATTAAGGTGATGGAGTTGTTATCTAGTTTGATATGCAGGATGAAGAAGAGGTGGAGTCAAGGATGCCTCTTAGGTTTATGATTCCCAAGATAGGAATCATGTGAGGTTTATCACATATAGGAGAATGAGTCAGTTTTAGACATGCTTTGGAGTCACACAAATGGTGCTGTTCAATGGGCAGTTGGCTGCATTGGTTTGGAAATGAGAGGATTCTAGGATATCTAGAGATTAGGATGTTATCAGCATATAGTTAGTTGATAGTTAATACAGTGTGAGAATAGATGTGATTTCTGATAGTTTGTGGAATAAGAAAGAATAAAACAAGAAAAACTCTGGAAGGCACCACTATATAAGGTAGATGATCCAATGAAAAAGTCTGAGAAGGAACAGCCAAATGACAGTAGAGCTCTAGAAGGCATGGAGGGAGAGAATTTGAGAGGTAGAGAATGGTCAACTGTCAAATGCCATAGGGAATGGCAGAGGGAGCTGACTAGAGATATTAGAGGCAAGGATCATTAATTTGTAATGATGCTAGTCCATATAATTGTGTGACTTTCTGTAGCAAAATTCAGTAGAACCAGAGATGATGAATAGTCGGAATTATCAGTACTTGGTTTTTGTTGTGTACATATGGTAGGAATGCAGGGGAGTTCAAAATATTGGCAAGAGAGTGGTTGAAGTGATGGTTTAGACTTGTTAGAGGCTGAAAGATTGAGAAAAAAAAATCTGGTTCAAGGGATTAGGACCCTGGATGATGTAAATATATACGTGTGCGTAGATATAAGGGAGTAGCTGATACAAGTACTCTGTAGTCAGAGTAGAATATTGGAATTTAAGATTTTAAGGCACTGATGGAGAACAGGGATTCACCATGGAAGTAGATGGCTGGAATGGGGGTTATATGGAGGTGGTCAAGAACAATGAGATTGGCATGTTGGATGAATTACTTATGTAGACACTGACCCCAGATGATTGTGGTACCTAGGGTGAAGAGGTATCGGAGTCCAAAAGGTTAGGAGAGAAGACTGTTTAATGAAGAAGAAGGCAGATTAGAAAGAGGTTAGATTTGGGCGTAAGGGTGACAAAGTTTTTCTGAAGCATGCGGCTGGCTTTGACATTCCAAATAGTAGTTTGGATTTCAAGTTTTTTTGAAAAAGTTAAAAGCATTACTCTGTTGGGAGAAATGTTTCATATTTATTATAAA